ACGTTGTCTTCACCAATAGAGATACCACTACATTGCCTTACCTTTATACAACATGGACTCCAACGTAAGTACCGTTTTCTTCTGGAAATAACGTTTGAAACTATTAATTGTTATTTACCTGAGATTGCAATATATGTTTGTAATGTCTAATATGTATATAAACAAACCTGTGCTTGGGCTTTTTTGTCAGATCGTGAATTTGAATCATTTTGTTCCACATTGCCAACATTTACTCAGTATACTGGAGCAGAAGGTCTAATTAATCTGTGCGGTAGTCCTTATCCCGTCATCATATACAGTTTATTGTCGTTACAGAAAACCTCCTTTGGAACTCCGCTGTCGTGTTTCATCCCCGAGAGCGCTTCACCAGTCGGCACGAACCTGCAGCCTTCCACATCCTCGACCATGAAGAAGCCGAGGACATTTACGCCCTTCAGCATCGTCGACATCATGAAGCCAGATAAATATTCGCCGGATGAGAGTGTCGGGTCGACTGATAGTGACAGTGACGCTCTCCTCATCGACCTTGATCGTTCAAGTGATGAAGAACAGTACCTTGTACAAAACGACAAAATTAGATCAGCAGACGACACCACCAGGTCACCAGCAGACGACACCACCAGGTCACCAGCAGACGACACCACAAGGTCACCAGCAGACGACACCACAAGGTCACCAGCAGACGACACCACAAGGTCACCAGCAGACGACACCACAAGGTCACCAGCAGACGACACCACAAGGTCACCAGCAGACGACACCACAAGGTCACCAGCAGACGACACCACAAGGTCACCAGCAGACGACACCACAAGGTCACCAGCAGACAACACCACGAGGTCTCCAGCAGACGGCAGAGAAACCCTACCCGATGTAACTACAGCGCAAGGCATGTCAACAGCTGTTACTGGAAGTGAAACCTGCTCCAACTTTATCATATACCAGGGTCTGGCAAACCCAATGAACAACGCACATCAGGGAATCTCACTACCCCAGACAGTAAATAACTCGTACCCTATGTACCCCATGTCAGGGGTGTTTCCGCCTGCCTACCCCATGTTCATTCCCCCAGCCACATCACAGATACCTGAGGGACATCTCAACAACTGCCACGGTAAGCAATACACCTTTTGTAATACTAATAAAGTCAAATGCCTCTGAAACCTGTCAGTTGTTTGATACCTGGTTAGAGAGTATGTAATGGTTAGAGAGTATGTAATGTACATATGTCTTGTGTTACAGATCCCGAAAATGTCGCCCCTCGTGTCAGTCCGACCTGCACCGGAAGGGTTAGTCCCACAGACAGTTCCTCCAGTGGTGACGTGTGCAGCCCAAGCCCAGACACCTCCCCAGTGACACCGTCAACAAAGAAGACGCGCAAAACAGCGGGTGGACGAACCTGCTACACACAGAAACAGGTGCGCGCAATGGAACAGGTTTTCTCGGAGAGCAAGTATCCGGATTATGACGTCATTGAACAATTGTCCACCGAAACTGGGATCCCAAGCAAGAGAATTAAGGTAAACATTACATTTAAACTATTATGGTTGTATTATCGCACTTTCGGTAAATCCCCCGCTTTCGATCATCACTAAATGGTCCGTATGCAAACAGCGCACGTTAAATCTCCAAATAATCATCATCAGAATGGATTGTAATTGTATTGTGCCGTGTCCCCGTTGTCTGTTGCCACAGCTATGCGCATGACAATCATAATTGTGACGTTCTGTTTTTTGCAGGTTTGGTTCCAGAACAAGCGAGCTCGCCGGAAATGTAGAACCCCAGAGACACAGCACCTCAACTCACAACGCATGTCCGCCATGATGTCGTCTTCCCCGGGATTCAACTACTTATCTCCCATGATGCCCCAGTTCCACTATCCGGTCTCTACACCCGCCATGATGTCTCCATTCCCAGGATTCCCATGCCCGCCGGTGTACCCATCCACCGTGTGTTGAACCATGTATAAACTTTAACATCGCAAGTGCTTCAATAATTGTATATACCCTGAATATACTAAACCGTAAACTATGTGTAGCTTATGTATATAATAAACACTGCATTTGAAGGTCCTTGTCTTTGTTCTGTAAATCTGTAGCCACGAGTATATAAAATGTGGTTGCCTCGCGATTTGCTGTGAAGAGTTGCCTCTCCGAACCCGTGAGAGATCCGGGTAAGAATCTAATGTCTTCAGTAACCCATGCTTGGTAGTTGTAATCACGTGATGGTGATTCAAAATATTTGTTGGATTCACGAATACTTGATGGCATGAAAGACTGTCGAGCTCTGTTTTGAGGGAAGGTAATCCACAGCAGCGTCCAGAAGGAAGTAGTTCAAAATGGTGAGATCAAATATGTCAACTATCAAATCTAATTTAAGTTGCCTTTGTGACAATCTGGCGCTCATAGATAAAGGGAATATACTTGAAAGACACCCCAGACATTTTGCAAGCAGTATTAACAATTTTGAAAAGCTTGTTTTTGTTGCAATGAGACAGACCCCCATACCAACATAGAAAATTGTAGGTCAACACACTTTGAATAAAGGTTTGATAAAAAACTGTCATTACGGTTTTGTCAATGCCTTGACGGTAGTAATTATCCCGTCATCATATACAGTTTATTGTCGTTACAGAAAACCTCCTTTGGAACTCCGCTGTCGTGTTTCATCCCCGAGAGCGCTTCACCAGTCAGCACGAACCTGCAGCCTTCCACATCCTCGACCATGAAGAAGCCGAGGACATTTACGCCCTTCAGCATCGTCGACATCATGAAGCCAGATAAATATTCGCCGGATGAGAGTGTCGGGTCGACTGATAGTGACAGTGACGCTCTCCTCATCGACCTTGATCGTTCAAGTGATGAAGAACAGTACCTTGTATACAAAACGACAAAGAGTACGCCATGAAGGAACACCACAGCCATTTCAGCAGACGACACCACCAGGTCTGACGACACCAGGTCACCAGCAGACGACACCACAAGGTCACCAGCAGAGACAAGGTCACCAGGCAGACGACACCACAAGGTCACCAGCAGACGACACCACACAAGGTCACCAGCAGACGACACCACAAGGTCACCAGCAGACAACACCACGAGGTCTCCAGCAGACGGCAGAGAAACCCTACCCGATGTAACTACAGCGCAAGGCATGTCAACAGCTGTTACTGGAAGTGAAACCTGCTCCAACTTTATCATATACCAGGGTCTGGCAAACCCAATGAACAACGCACATCAGGGAATCTCACTACCCCAGACAGTAAATAACTCGTACCCTATGTACCCCATGTCAGGGGTGTTTCCGCCTGCCTACCCCATGTTCATTCCCCCAGCCACATCACAGATACCTGAGGGACATCTCAACAACTGCCACGGTAAGCAATACACGCTTCTGTAATACTAATAAAGTCAAATGCCTCTGAAACCTGTCAGTTGTTTGATACCTGGTTAGAGAGTATGTAATGGTTAGAGAGTATGTAATGTACATATGTCTTGTGTTACAGATCCCGAAAATGTCGCCCCTCGTGTCAGTCCGACCTGCACCGGAAGGGTTAGTCCCACAGACAGTTCCTCAAGTGGTGACGTGTGCAGCCCAAGCCCAGACACCTCCCCTGTGACACCGTCAACAAAGAAGACGCGCAAAACAGCGGGTGGACGAACCTGCTACACACAGAAACAGGTGCGCGCAATGGAACAGGTTTTTCTCGAGAGCAAGTATCCGGATTATGACGTCATTGAACAATTGTCCACCGAAACTGGGATCCCAAGCAAGAGAATTAAGGTAAACATTACATTTAAACTATTATGGTTGTATTATCGCACTTTCGGTAAATCCCCGCTTTCGATCATCACTTCCAAATGGTCCGTATGCAAACAGCGCACGTTAAATCTCCAAATAATCATCATCAGAATGGATTGTAATTGTATTGTGCCGTGTCCCCCGTTGACCGTTGCCACAGCAATGCGCATGACAATCATAATTGTGACGTTCTGTCTTTTGCAGGTTTGGTTCCAGAACAAGCGAGCTCGCCGGAAATGTAGAACCCCAGAGACACAGCACCTCAACTCACAACGCATGTCCGCCATGATGTCGTCTTCCCCGGGATTCAACTACTTATCTCCCATGATGCCCCAGTTCCACTATCCGGTCTCTACACCCGCCATGATGTCTCCATTCCCAGGATTCCCATGCCCGCCGGTGTACCCATCCACCGTGTGTTGAACCATGTATAAACTTTAACATCGCAAGTGCTTCAATAATTGTATATACCCTGAATATACTAAACCGTAAACTATGTGTAGCTTATGTATATAATAAACACTGCATTTGAAGGTCCTTGTCTTTGTTCTGTAAATCTGTAGCCACGAGTATATAAAATGTGGTTGCCTCGCGATTTGCTGTGAAGAGTTGCCTCTCCGAACCCGTGAAGATCCGGGTAAGAATATGTCTTCAGTAACCCATGCTTGTCGATTAATGGCATTCTGTGGTCAGGCTCGCTGTCTTGGTTGACACATGTCATAGTATCCCAATTGCGTAGATCAATGCTCTTGCTATTGATCACTGGATTGTCTGGTGGATTAATGGCTGTTTTCGTCCCCTGCGAACCATAGTCGGTTAAAATTCAGTTTCATTACAAAACAGTGCTGGTGGTAAACGTCGGAATCACCTCCCGTATCAAAACCGACAGGCCTATATAGCGTTGAAACCGGCGTTACACACGTTTGTGTCGTAACTGCGTTTAGGATCCATTTCCTCTCACTTCGTACACCAGATGTACACGACAGTGTTATATCCGGACGTAGCTCCTCGCGAGTCACGGGACGGCAATATGTCACATAACTATCGTTGTTTTACAGACATCCCAACCGTAGTTACTGTATTGACCTCAAAAGCTATCTAAATGTTCGCCTGTGGATCAGGGCTCTCGGCCTGATTTTATCCCTTCGTTGTAGGTTTACCATTATACTTACAACAAAGCTCAACAAAAGTTATTATAACAGTGTATCCTTTATTCACGAGTGTCAAATATAATATTGCAACAAACATCGACATAAATCAACAAACGATATTCATTTAGCAATGGACGGGTGTAAACAAAGGTACCAAATGCGCCTAATGTAAAACCAATGGACTAAATATATATAAAAATACCTACATCCTATCAAGAAATTGAAAGACGTTATTACAAGCATTATAATAATGCACATTGAAAATATATATAAAACCTATTTAAACGTATTAGTGTATATCGTGTATATGTAATTGTATAGTATTTTTTCTCTAAAATAAACGAGCCTATAGAAGGTCAAGAATCTGTCTAATGTTTTTATCGGGATTATAAAATTTCTCAAAATATCTATACATACATTATTAGTGAAAGAAGATTCTAGAAGAATGGTCTATAGCAAGTGCGATCTGTTCTGTCGGAGGCCTTAATGGCTTTGTACACAGCCATAAACAAGGGAGGGAACCGCGCCAGGAAGTATCGACAGGGGTCATCAAGTACGTCTCGGGCACCATGTGACCTGTGAATAAACAAACGTTATAAAATGTATTGATGCTCTATATAAGATCTGTTTGTTGCCTCATGAAAATAACATTTTTTGTCAATTCAGGGAATGGGAATCGAAATGAGTACATATTCTTGTATTGATCTTTACCATCGTACACGACGTCAATAGTGTCGACGTCCTTACTTTTGCCCTTCGGGATATAGAAGTCCATACACCAATGTGAGAGTAAGTAGGTCTAAAGCTAACGTTTCTTCGAACCTGGCATTCACTAGTATTACCGTTACGACACTTGGCAACAATGCATTAGTCAACATTACTCCGCCATTGGAACTATTGACTATCTGATCATCAACAAGGAGAGATCCCCCATATGGGAGTGAATAAATTACAGATAATGAAATGTGTAAAGATCAATGGGAAGGTAATGATGGACTGGTCGTCTAAGGCGACACACAGTGCTGATGCATGTGCGCCTCACTGGATCCTGTGGTCGGGGTTCGAATCCAGGATTTGTCCTGATTTTATTCCTTGATTTGTCAACAACATTAGAGTGATCGTGGGTTTAACGCGCTCTATTGTTGGTACATTCAACTGGTTTGTGTTCACAAAAATTTCAAACACGTATGTTTTGACTGAACTGATGTACTCTAAACCTGCTGTCAAAGTAAATGAAAAGGTTTCAAAACTAAGGTGTTTCTCTGATTCAAATTCTTAAAGTTATTGTCCGTTAAACACACATAAAACATCTATATATACGGAACTCTATAACAGAAAAGTGTTCACATATATTTTACTACAGAAGGAGAATTTGCTCACATCTTGTCAAAATGCAAACAACAGTTGTAGATAAATAGCACCATCTCAGCCAGGGTGTTCTTGTACTGACGGAACGCTCGCATCTCCTTCAGGACGGCGCTGTCGATGACGTTGATCTGCAGAGAGTGAGTGAGAGTCTTAGGCTATAATAGCAATATGATACTGATATCAGCAATATTCCCCCACAATCACGACAGGCAACATCAAAATGGGCTTTAAACATTGAGCCGTTTTGAAGAAAAATCGAATCCAAATCGATTTTTTATGGCGTGACAAGTAAACGCTTTAACTATTAGTCTATTCCGTTATTCCTGATCTGACTTGAAATACATTACCTAATATCAATACCTGTTTTATTCTGATTCAAAAACATACAACGTGAAAGGGTGTGTGTGCTAGTTGGATTGTTGTTAAATGCTAATATACGAGCTGCTTGTCTGACGTACCGAGTTTAGACAAGACACAATCGTGATTGACAGCATGAACAAATATCAAAGGTGTGAGTGTACATTTACATTTAATCAGCAGCCACCTGGCAAAACTAATAAGCATTTTGTAAACGAAATGGGAACATGTGTTATATTCTGATTGGTAAATTGTCCGTCCTATTTTCGCATGCAGTGCCTGCCATAAATTTGGGGCATCGACAAGAACACCTGCAAATCTCAATACACCTAATGTTTATCACCTTAATATGCCAAGTGACGTCATTCGCTCATAAACTGACATCAAAGATGTCATATTGCAAAGGACATAAGCCGTGGTGATTATGGAATGTGAATATGAAAAATATTAATCTATTTCACGCCAAAACATCTGTTACTTTTGATTCTGTATGTGTTTGCTATGAAACTACTAGGGGAATACATTTTAAATTGAGCAGGTGCAGGTTTATTTTGGTGTAAACTCACACGGGGATTTTGGGAGCCTGCAGTTCACTCGTACAGCATACGATTTAGGAGACTATGAGAACGCCATAGAGCCAAACGCACACTTCCATATAACCAAGACAGCAATAGACCAAACAGGGCAGCACTGCTCTACGGCTCTGTTGCAAAGGCTGCCGCAATTTGGATCAGACAATTTGTCTGCTGTGTGCGGCATGGATGATGTTTTGAAGGTGCATTCACACCCTACATAACTTTTGCTATATACAAAACGTGGCACATTAGAGCCCGTGGGACAGCCTTTGACGTCGGCAACTTCATGAATGCGAGATGCATGTCATCACGAAAGCACAATGTTGCCACTTTTGTAGCATAAAATATTTTTTTCAGCGAAAGTTCTCGTTGCTTCGAATATTTTCTCTTTGCTTCAAGTTTTTGTCAAATTTTGAAATTTCTAGGATTTATTCGTTGCTTCCAGTATTTTCACGTTACCTCAGGTTTTTAAAGAATGTTGAATGAACAATAAAATGCTCTAAGCAACAAGAAATTAACCGAAGCAACGAGAACTTTCGCTGAAAATATATTTTACAGTTTATTTATATGTCCCTGTACATTGGGACGAAACATTTGTCCTAAACTGTCGCAGTACACGTGACGGGCACTCACCCAGCCATCGCTGATCACCATGTATTCCATCACTCACGCAGCTACGTCACCAGGTATTGTGACAGGCACTCACCCAACCATCGCTGATCACCAGGTATTCTGACACGTTCAGGCACTCACCCAGCCATCGCTGATCACCATGTATTCTGACACGTTCAGGCACTCACCCAACCATCGCTGATCACCAGGTATTCTGACACATTCAGGAAGTCGGTCATGGTGGTGCTTCCCGAGCCAGTCAGGGCAATTCTGGAAGGAGATTATAAAATACAGTGACGGGTTCACCTCTCTGTCTCATCTGTTCATCCGTTACTAGGTAACATTTCACTGAGATATTGAAAGATTTGACAGTGAATCGTGTAACGCTAGATATTGCAGTATAGAATTAGTTTGACATGACGGTCGTTTATGAATACAGATTATACAGAACTTAGCGAACAATAAATGTATATTATAAGATGTTTCGTTGTTTAAGTTACGTCATCACTTTTGAGTTTCATTCAATACCTTTTGATGTCTAACTGGGCAATAGTCACATTAAATTGTCACCATTCGTGCGAGACGCTCTTGACTGATTTGTGTTCTGAGGATTGCCAAAGCCACATGTTATATCCCTCTGACTGTAAGAAAGGGTTTCACCGATCACAACTGTGGATGTGCCATTCTGATTGACAGGAATGGTATAACTGTAACCTATTTTACCAAGGATACCCGAGGTCATGCAGGGAACAGCTTCATGACGTAACTCAAACAAGTGTAACTTATCGCAGGACTGTCCGCCACTGTGATCTTTTTCACAGGGGCTTGTAATGCTAAACACTGCCACCAGGATCCTTTTATATAGTACTAAGACCCCGTCAGTGACAGTATATACCTTGATGGCAGTTTTAGCGTTACAAGCCCCTGTGATCGTTTTAAAGGCGCCATGACAAAGTTTGGAAGTCCTGAGTGCAAATATCAGTGAGAAGTGTAAACAAGATGTCTGACCCTGTCTTCATCTCCTTCAGCACATCCGAGCCAGCGATCAACACCATCCGGAACCGCTTCTCTTCTGACCAGAAGAATGGATGCCTGGACCATGGACAAAACACTCTCACAAATATGCGACTGTTTATTTATTATTATAAATATCATTATTTCCGACAAAGATCGTAAAATGCCTATAGATCATAAGGAAGGTAAAGATGTCTGGTCGTCGGAGCCGATGTACACTGTGCTGATGCATTTGCGTCTTACACGCGACAGGACCCTATGATCGTAGGTTCTAATCCAGGATTTGACCTGATTATATTCTTTGATTTATTTGTCAGCAGCAAGGGCGATCTTTGGTATAAGGCGTTCTATTGTTCATGCAATCAGCTGGTTTGTGTTCACGAAGATTTCAAAAACGTATGCTTCGAAATTTTAAGTATCTTTATGAATACCGCCTTTGCTGAAGGGCAGTCGCAAGTCTGATATCTTAGAAACGGGCTTACGTCTCTCGTGACTGTACGATCGCTTTGTGGAACTGGGCGTCCTTTCACAAAACACTAAGGTGATCGTAAGTCACTTAGGTAACCTTAGTGCAATGTTAAAGAATGGGAGTTAAGGTTAACCTTAGTAAAGGTTGCTTCGTAAAAAGAGCCCCTGGTGGACCATTTAGGTGGACTGTCTTGAAAACTAAGAATTCTTTTGTGAAATCGTTGTGAATATTCTTTCAGTCAGAATCAATATTTGTATCAGATTACAAAGGGCCAATATTGATAGCCAACGATTTGACTGTCAATTATTATCATACATGTGATAAGTGAGTGAGTGAGTGAGAATGGTTTTACGTCGCTTTCAGCAATAGTCCAGAAATATCACGGCGGGGGACACCAGAAATGGACTTCACACAATGTATCCACTTGGGGAATCGAACCCGGGTCTTCGGCTTGACCAGCGAACGCCACCCCACCATCCCAGTATGTTAATGATGTCTGTTCCTACCTGAGACAGGTGTCAACGGACGGCCTAGCCGAGACATCAGAGAACAGCATGTCATTTATCAAGTCGTTAGCCTCTTCGCTGATGAAGGCGAGCTCCGTACAGTTCTGGCATAAGTTCAGCTCAATCTCAAAGTTGTTGCTGCCGTAGGGATGTCGTCCGCCGGTGAGGATGTAGTAGAGGATCATGCCGACGACCTGTACGTCCGACCGTGTTGTTGGCATGGAGTTGTCATCCTCAGCAAAGGTCTCGGTTGCTTGCCAACACAGGTTTGTCCCTGCAAGTAGATGATGCATGAGTGAGTGAATTTCTACTGCTGCCGCAACGCGAGGCAGACCTGATGATCACCTTTGTGCCATGTTTACTGACGACCACGTCCCCCCTTGATGAGAATCGTAACAGATGATGATGATGATGATATGTGATGACTTGTCGCACATGTTAACTGATGAGCAAGTCTCAGTCGTTGAGCATGTTAACTGATGATCACGTCCTACCTGTTTGGCATACTAGCTGATGAGCGATTCCCACCTGCCGAGAATGTGATCCGATAATCTCGACAGACCTGATAATCACTTTTGTTAACTGATGGTCATGTAGTGTAAACATATTTTATTCAAAATAAATTGAACTAGGATTGGTAAACAAGCCGTAATGGCTTATTTGAATACCTCTCCATTTCATTGATACATGAATAAAACAAATATTAAATAATATGCAGCATGATAGGAAAGCAAGCAACCTGCGTATTAAACATTATTAATCATTTATCAAACCTATGCGATTATATTATAAAAGTATGGACAGATTGTAGTATGAAAGAATTTACAAGTACATTTTTGTTTGGATTACCATTTAGGACAGAATGTAAATTATATCCATGTTCGTAAAAATACATGCGATGTCTGATGTTAGAATAATTAGGACAAGTAAAGGAGTAATGTAAAGTATCCTCATAGGGGTGACCACAGGAACAGAATGGATCAACTGAAATGTGCCGTTCAAACATGTGCGCTTTCAAATTACTGCACCCAAGTCTGAGGCGTGAGGGGATAATTTGGCAGAAACGTGTACCAAAGTTTTTATCAAATATATTCAAATTGGGTGGTTTTGATGATTGGAATGCATTTTTGAATTGGCCTATGGTTTCAATATCGTATATATTCTCAGGCAAATCATCCCATTGTCGTATTGTATCAGGTAAAAACGAGTTGCTATACAAATCACTACGACATCTTATAGTTTGAATGTTATTACTGTTTCTTAATCTATGGTCACTTAACTGTGATACTTTTTCGGGCAGTAGATCAGTTAAATAAACTGGTGTCATATGATGGTCATGTCTAACTGAACATTCTATCTGATGAGCACGGATGAGAACGGTGAAAAATGTTGCACCTGTTGGATGTGTTATCTGATGATCAAGTCTCACCTGTTGGATGTTATCTGATGATCGAGTCTCACCTGTTGGATGTGTTATCTGATGATCAATTCTCACCTGTTGGATGTGTTAACTGATGATCAAGTCTCACCTGTTGGATGTGTTAACTGATGATCACCTTTCACCTGTCGGATGTGTTAACTGATGATCAAGTCTCACCTGTTGGATGTGTTATCTGATGATCAAGTCTCACCTGTTGGATGTGTTAACTGATGATCAAGTCTCACCTGTTGGATGTGTTAACTGATGATCACCTTTCACCTGTTGGATGTGTTATCTGATGATCAAGTCTCACCTGTTGGATGTGTTATCTGATGATCAAGTCTCACCTGTTGGATGTGTTAACTGATGATCACCTTTCACCTGTCGGATGTGTTAACTGATGATCAAGTCTCACCTGTTGGATGTGTTACCTGATGATCACGTCTCACCCGTTTGATGTCTTAACTGATGATCACGTCTCACCTGTCAGATATGTTAACTGATGATCACCTTTCACCCGTCGGATGTGTTCACTGATGATCAAGTCTCACCTGTTGGATGTGTTATCTGATGATCACGTCTCACCTGTTTGATATCTTAACTGATGATCACGTCTCACCTGTCAGATATGTTTACTGATGATCACGTCTCACCTGTCGGATGTGTTAACTGATGATCACGTCTCACCTGTCGGATGTGTTAACTGATGATCAAGTCTCATCTGCCGGAGGTGTTAACTGATGATCACGTCTCACCTGTTGGGTGTGTTAACTGATCATCACGTCTCACCTGTTGGAGGTGTTAACTGATGTCTCACCTGTTGGGCGTGTATAGAAGTGGCCGAACTTGTCCCTCTTGATGATGCCGTAACCGCCCACCCTCAGCTTGCCCTCGCTGTCTACGTAGATGTTGTCTGGCTGAAAGTCGTTAAGGAAGACGTTTCACGTGATAAAACTGATTGAAATATGCCTATAACGAAAGTAAGATTTCGAATACTCCTTGTTAATGATTCGTGTTGATGCCACAAATCAATGATTGTGTGGTTTAGTTTGACCCGACGGTCAACGAACCGTTTGATACAGATATGATGTTACTGGTATGAAACTTATTTACTCACCCTGTCATCAGTCACTCACCCTGAGGTTGCCGTGGACAATGCCGATGTCGTCGTGGAGGTATCGGATGCCCTTGAGGAGTTGCCAGGCGAGTCTGTTTGCGGCCAGCGGGTCATGGTTGTGGTCAAGACGGGTGATGGCGATGTATTCCTCCAGGCTGTAGTCGCACAGCTCGGTGGCCAGGTAGTGCTGACTCCCAACCTCCGCCAACCTGATCCCGCCAGGGTGTCTGTGTGTCCGTACATTTGTATTTCTGGGGGCGAGCGAAAAACACGAAGATTACTAAGCACTGACGTCATCATACTGTGACGTCACTCACCATGAAGTAAGAAATGCTTTTCCCCAGACATTTCTGCTACTTATGTGCTTAGTATTGATATACAGTAACACGACAGAGAAATATATAAATAAAATGTTTTTGGGACTGTGATGTTGTCAAAATGACATGACGATGTTTCATTTGATAATAAACGCAAACATTCTATTTGTTATGGGCTGAAAGTATTACAGTCAAGAAAATATCAGGTTTTTCAGTTCACTCTATGAGATAAACATGCTATTTGACATATCATCAGGACGATTTTTACAGGGCGTCGCCTAGGCAATAGAATAAGTGATCTAATGTTTGTTGCTCAAACCTTGTATCTGAGCAGGAAGTTGTACTTGGTGTCAGAAGCGGCGAGTTTCTTGATGAGGTCTTTGTCCACCACCTCCCTCTCAGCTTCCAGGATCCTCACACCCACCTCACACCCGTCCGTCAGGAAGCCCAGCACCACGCTTTCAACCCTTGAACACATCCAGTTTTGCCATGATCAGTTGGTAGTGAATATCATATTACCGTGTTAGGACTGTTTGGCATGGTTAGAATCATATCAAAATTCCTTTTCAGCAAATTTCCACAAAAAGAACCCTCACGCCTAACTAGAAAAGTATAGAAAGTTGTTAAGAAAAAACCTAGGCATGATAATTTTTTGTTTCACTTTTTTATCGCATGAACATAAAAATGCATAATGAGAAATTGTCAAAGTTGAGATACTGTCATATTTTTGTGCTCTCTGTCCCCAAATTAGCAATTTCACTGGTCTCGTTCCACAAAGCAACCTTAATGTTATGACTATCGTCCATACGTCTAACTGTCAAAATACAACAGCTACTCACGACTTGCTAATCTTGAAGTCGTCGGTATTGAGTGGTATGACTATCCTTCCCATCTGCTTCCTCATGGTGTAGGGTAGATCGATAAGCTCAGCTAGTTTATCCTTCCACCTGCGGCTCTGGGCCGTCCACTGTACCTCGGGGACCACCTCCTCCGGGTCATGCTTCTCCAGGCTGATACAGGTCGTGTGCTGCTCAATCACGTGACTGCTCACCTCATCCCCTTTTGTAGCGTTATTCATTAGAGTCGCCATGCCTTCTTCGGGGTTGATGATACCATCCCCTTGGCCAGCATTGCTCTTGATGACATCATCGACGGGAATTTTATTAACGCTGGCATACTGTGCGGCGTTGACTCGCAACTCCTCTGTTGTTAATCCATAGAGAGAAGCGTAGTAGTCAAAGTCGTGGAAGTAGACTGAGTTTTCAAGCATTGGCTTCCCAGCTATTGTCCTGTACTGACGTTTCACCTGTTCCTTTGCCATGTTCTCAAGCAGAAATGGATTCAGACTCTCGTTTCCAGCCACCGAACTCTTCATGTCATGGAATCCGGGGAACACCTCCTGGTTCTGAGGAAAGGCCGTGGCTGCCAGAGATCCTGCTGCAGAAGACGTATCTGATTCATCTCTCAGAGTCTCTGGAAAGAGGACAGATTCGGATTTAGATGTAGCTAAGCATCTTGCAATGTGTGCGATTATTTTGCCGAAGTCCTCCTCACTCAGTCCCTGCTGGCTCCCTTGCTCCAGAAACCCATGACTTTGGCATGCTTCAGGAGACTTGTCTGGAAGAAGATTTTGCTGTTCCCTTTGCTTGTCTGGATCTGGCATGACGACCTCTTCATTACTGCAAGTCGTTGTGTCTTTGTTCGGGGTGCTTGGCCTAGAGCCAGGTGTTCCAGTCTCATTGAGTCTTTCAGGTGTTGCCAGAAAGCAGATATCTGGCTGTTCTGTTGTCCAGATATTCTCCGTAACATTGGGAGATACATTGTGGTAGACAGGACTCACTGTCAAAAAGTCCTCTGCAGTCACATTCTTGTCAGAGTCAATCTCCTCATTCTCTTGAAGCTGACATTCCCCAGGATTCTGCTCTACTTCCACACCATGGCAATTCTTTCCGTCCACTTTGTCTTCAATGAGATAAGGTTGCAGCAGAGACTGTGCAATGTTAGCCATTGTCATCTGCGGTGCAGGGAATACTGGTCCTTGAGCAAAGTTGACTCCAAAGCCGTACTGCTGGTGCATCTGGGGCACCCGTGGCCGCATTTGTGGATGCATCAAGCGGGGCTGGAATCCTGGAGGTGGTCGTGAAGCAGGATTCAGTCCATACCTACACATCCACGTTTGAGTTGGCACTGGCATTTGACCCATCACCTGATATGGAGATATGAACTGGGGCGGTGGAGGTGGGAAATGTTGTGGATATTGTTGTTGCTGCTGCTGTTGAAGTTGGTGCATCTGGATGTACGGATTTATAGAGTTATCATCTAAATAAGCTTGATTAACGGGTACATTACCAATGGTGTCCAAATCCACTGCTGGATCGGGAATCAGATCGATTTGTTCCTCCCCAAGGAAAGACACCGTTGAAGTCGATTGAGCTCCTGAAACATCTGTTTCTTCCTCTTCTGGTAGGTTAGGGAAATCGTCTTCATACGTGAAAACCTCCTTACGACGAGCGCCCATGTCTCTGCATTGTTGTTCAACACACTGCAGGTGCTTTTGGCGTTCTTCAATTTGTTCCTGTTTCAGCCGATATTGTTCAGTCTGCCGCAGGGTTTCCTGTTGTTCCTGCAGGTGCTGTGACGTAACTTTACCCTTAGCAACATCAGCCCAACACACATTGCCCATGACTCGTTTTGCTGGCTTTGCTACTGTCGGTTTAGCAGCATCATTGGCTTTATTTTGTTGCTTCTTTGGTTTCCTTAAGTGTTGAACATTCTGGTCTCTCTGGGCCTTTTTGTTGGCTGTTGTCTTTGCAGCTGCTACTCGTCTGTTCTCAACTTTCTGCCACTCAGTTTTATCGTTCTTGTTGGTCCTCAAAGGCGGCGCCGCCTGATGCATGTGGTAGCCATTGGACTTCTTAGTATGTGTCGGTTCAACGTAGTTGTATCTGAACTGCATCGGGTCATGTCTTGTCTGGATGACATTGCCATCACTTTCCCTCACGGTCTCGATACACACATTCCAGTCGGGCATAAGCACATGCTGGTCGTACCTAACGTTTTCGTCTGTCCTCTTTGAGGCTTTCTCCGCTCCTACAGCTTTGCTGACCTCCTCGTCGGAGTGTTTTCCATTGGCATTCTTATTGACATTCACCTCCTTCGCCTCTCGCTGTTTCTGCCTCCTCAGTCTCTTCCTGTCCCTCTTCTTCTGAGCCTTCTGTTTGTCCTTCTCTTCGTTCATCAACAGATGGGTCTGGTTCTCCACCCTCCTGTCCAGCATCATGCTGTCGAAGAACTCAAGGTACGAAGTCCAGGCCTTCTTGAACCTAGGCGGACATTTGACGCAGTTGAAAAAGCTCTCAAGCGTTGATCCGGATCGGAGGTAATCCGTCATCTTTACCAGATGCAGGTTGCTGAGATTCCTCTGCAGCCATTCCCTCCCTTCCTCAATACCATGCATGCATATCAGAGGCAGCAACAAGCCAGCTATGGTGTCCGTCTCGTTCTCCTGTCTCTGTTCAAGCTTCTCGATGTAAGGGTTCTGCTTGATGGTCTTCATGACGAGGTCGTGTCCCTGTGTCCTGATGAATTGCAGGGTGAACCGTTCATCTATGATGGTACCAAAGTCGGTCATCAGCATGCTGCAGAGAAAGAAGATGGTGGACATGATGTCAGCCTCCCCGTGTATTGGCGAGAGGCGTGCAAGACGTTGGGGATGGCCTTGATCTTATAGAGAGTGTCCTTGAATATATCAGACTGGAACAATGTGAACAGTGTTTCGAAGAAGGCATCATGTTCCTCATTGCAGTGACTATCTAATTCTTCAATCGTCAGCGATCGCAGCTTGTCTAGGCGGCCCTGAACAACATTGAGAAGATATGGAATGAGTAAATGTGTTAGGTTACAGACGTTCCGCATAATATGTACATGGGAAATCATGTTTGTGGTCAGAAAACACCCACTTGATAAAACACAAATTATTTGGGTAACAATATGCTACCCAATACATAAACCGATATAGATCTATTGGTATCCATAAAAACACATCATCAACAAGTCAGATTTGTGTACAGGCCCAATGAAAGCTTTGCCGGTTTGATTGTCTATTAAGTCTGTATATATTTCTTGTTTTGTTGTTCTTCAAGGAAGTATTCGGGCGGTGGGGTAGCCTAGTGGTTAAAGCGTTCGTTCGTCACGCCGAAGACCGGGTTCGATTCCCCACATGGGTACAATGTGTGAAGACCATTTCTGGTGTCCCCCGCCGTGATATAGCTGGAATATTGTTAAAAGAGGCGTAAAACTGAACTCACTCACTCTCACATGTATGATATAATATCGATATAATCAGAGACTAATTTTATCATGAACTTTCCATGCCGTTTCAGAAAAGCAAATTGCAATATTGATATAATCAGAGACTAATTTATCATGAACTTTCCATGCCGTTTCAGAAAAGCAAATTGCAATATTGATGTAATCAGAGACTAATTCATCATGAACTCTCCATGCCGTTTCAGAAAAGCAAATTGCAATATTGATATAATCAGAGACTAATTTATCAAGAACTTTCCATGCCGTTTCAGAAACGTAAATTGCCAAGTCGCTGAACCTGACCATCCAATCCATGATATATTACTAAGGATACATTCTAATCTGAAAGCAGCACTGCCCCAATCCGAGACACTTCACTTCCATCGCCTCTTGTCGAACATTTGTCGCTTTGGACCTACCTTGGCGTAGAACTCTTTCTGGGAGTTGCTGAGTTTGGTCATCAGGTACTTGACGATGTCTTCCTTCTCCGCCTCGATGCCGCGACATATGGCGGAGAAGCCATCCTGTTGGCACAAAACCGCGAAAACAATCACCAAACTACTGTTGTTACCTGTTCGTCAGTGCCTTGAGGTTAAACAAAATGCATTGACATGATAAACAACATCCAGGTCCCCTCCCATACACGACTATACACTCTGTCGTGAGTGGGTGACGTGAGTTTAACGATGTATTGAGCAGGATCTCACGGCCCACGCCTGTTACTTTGGCCATTAACTGATTCTGTGGCTTGCAACCCAACAGCAACAAGAGGTGGATCTGCATTAAAGCATCTTCGAAACGAGTTAACACATTTCTGCGAAACACGTTGAGGCTTGGTAACGTATCACAGTACTAAGGATGAGGGTAGTAACAACAGTAGCAGCAACAGCAGCAGCTACTCACATTGTCCTCGATTAGGATGTCTGTACCCTGTGCAACCAGCTTCTCCGTCAGCTTCAGGTCGCCCGTGACGACGGCGATGAAGAGGGCAGTGCAGCCATTCTGAACACAAACCATACCATTCCCAGTACACTGCGAGATGTTTTCGACATAATCTTTTCGATACTAGTATTAAAGCAACAGATTCAAATTTTGATTTGGTCGTAACATGGTTGACTCATTATAGGGGATCGAATCGAAAAATCTATATCAATGGCTTAATGCGACAAGCATATATTTTCAACTGCAATTCTACACGGAATCTAAAGTGTGATGGTAATAATCAAAAGATTGCTAAATGTCCATCGCAAGACGATAACGTGTATTGATGGAGATAATGACGTTACGCACAGCGTTGCGGCTGTTGACATCGGCTCCGTTCAACAGCAGGAACTCAACACAGCCCTCCCACTTCTTCTCCGTCGCCAGGTGCAGCGCTGTGGTCCCATACTGTAACAGTGACGGCAATGACGTTAACAACACGAACATCATCAATCCATCACGTACGTCCATATCAAATATATACTCTTTTCAGAACTATGTTTATGGAAAATATTGACACTTGATTTTATGCTTAGAAATGTCGATTAAGAATTTAATTTAATTTAAGAATGGGAAACATTGATTGCTCACCTTCATTCATGACAAATTTAAACCGAACCATGAAGTGTCAGTTACGCGATTGAATGAAGCTGCGTGGATAGAGTCCAGTGTTTGAGTACTGATTTCAGCACTTCTGATAACCCAGAGAAAACACTCCTGACTACGAAACGCACAAAAATATTACTTTTGAAATGAACACGTTATTTGACAGAAATAGCCAACTATCTTTACTGTTTGAGTAGGCAGTGAAATAACAAAATGAGTCAGACCATCGTTAATCGCCATGTTCATCTCGGCTACATTCGTGAAACTATCGATTTTGTCTTGAAATATATAGTTCATATATGTACCTGTGCAAATATCGCACATATTGTACTGTTGCGTCGTCAGCAGTGGTGACGTCATTCGAATTAAATTGTGACGTAAAGTCGGAATGACGTCACACTACCAAGAGCTAAAGAACGTTTTCATCAATCGACAACTGGATCCACACTCCGGCGCTCTGATGACTTCGCATAGAATCACTGCCACAGGCTAATTTGCATATCATGTGACCGGACTTTTCTCTTGTTTGTAAACAAACGCACATATACGTAAATCAGAAGAGAGTGACCTTATGCATGCTTTTCCGATGCGCTTTTATATTGTTTTACATTGTTATATAGATATCCTTCTACAATTGCAACAGTCAGTCAAAGTTACTCCATCGCTTGCTCTGCATGAAGCTTCTATGACAGCACGTGGAACCGCATAACCTATGTAAACGAAGGATCGCTACGCAAATCGAAATAGTGCATAGGCGGACCCCGAAGGGGAGCGCACCCCTACACCCCTGCACCCCCCTTCTGGATTCGCCTATGCACTATTTCGATTTGCGAATAACCCCATCCCACCCCCACCACCCTTTGTCCTGAAAGTTTATTAAATGACCATTCCAATTCAACTTAGTATGAAACACGAGTTCTGATTGGTCAATGCTATAATTTCCGACCGTATAATCAGCATATACGGTCGCAATTTGAAAACCGATTCACCAAAACCTTAGAAAGTATTCCTACGCATTTGGGGTAACGTTGTTTTTCAGGGCATTTTCAGAAGCCATTGGTCAATTAACTCCCCTATCCAGTTAAAATGAGTGGAATTTGTGTCACAAAAGACAAAACAGCATCATAAATTTAATTTTAAGTTCAAACAACTTACTAGCAACGGGCTGTTGTCCCAACACTGTTAGATCATGAAACAAGATTATGACGTCATTATGGAGCGTGACGTCACCTACAGTGACGTCATTTGACAACAGAACTGATAATGGCCCGTAGTTGAGGAATCAACGGGCCGCTCATTTCTGTAACTAGAGGGCGGTTTCATCATAATTCCGTCTATTTTATGTATAATACTATGATCTATTCATCATTTTCAGATTTAGACGGTGTGCACATAATAAACGTGTGTAGTTTGAAAAGGGAACTACTTTTTCTGGCGATGGTGTAAGTTCAAGGAGTGATATGATTAACCTTTGACCTAGAGGAACTTTGACCTGGTTTAAATAATGAATTTCTTTCACGAAAAAACAGCGTAAAACGAGTTGAATTAGAATGGGGATAACTGTACTGTGTTTGACGAATTGGGGACGTATACCGGTGGTTATTTAGCCGCAAATTTAGTTATATCGGCGACGCTCTCTTACGTCCCCAATTAGTCAAACACAGTACGCGTCGCCGGTATAACTAAATTTGCGGCTATATAACTACCGGTATACGTCCCCAATTCGTTAAACACAGTACAGTTATCCCCTAATTGAAACACGGGTGAAAATGAAATGTGCACCCTCCCTTTTCTCAATAGTGTATGCACCCCTCCTTTCTAAAAAAGCTGTATCCGCCCCTGTAGTGTGACATGTTTTTGCATATTTTCTCAGTGAAAGTAAACCATTCTGTCAGAGAATACCAAGTAGATGTGAAGACTCGTCAAAAGTGAAAGCGCTAAGAAATTTATACAATATATTGAATGGACTATGCAAGATGTGAGGAATCGTCACATTTCTCTGGCCTGTGGCAGAGGTACTATGCTGGTCGCATGGAACTCTGGGTAGGAGAATGAGGCGGGATCGTGATCAGTAGCCTTTTTTTTCTACAGCGGAGCTCAAAAGAACGACGAACTGGTGAAAATATTACATTCGCATGTGTCTCATACTGATGCTACAGAACGAGTCTCGGGTCATTATATATCTTCTAGAGCGATGGGGAGCAATTGTAACACATATTTTTTATACGTTCTACATTATAATAACCTATATAAAGACAGCTAGTCTCTAGCCTCTTGAGAAAACAAGGACGCCATTTACACAATGACAACGATACTCACTTTGTTAGCCTGGTTAATGTCAAGGTGACCTCTGTAAGGCCACACCTTGTTGATGATATTGGCGTCTCCCGTTACTATGGAAATCATAAAAGCGTTGTCGCCTTCCTGGTTTAAGAAGAAAGAAAGACACACTCACTTTCCGAACACATTTGTGAATTTGTACATGAGAATATGAAATGAGTTAATCACTCATACACTAGTTTCTGTCTGGTTACCATGGTTTCCTTTGGTGTTTTCAACGATTGTTTCTCTTACAAGCGTATATATGTGATATACAAGGCAAATCCACTTCCATTTCAAAAATTTCCGGTGTCCCCCGCCGTGATATTGCTGGAATATTGCTAAAAGCGGCGTAAAACTAAACTCAGTCAGTCCATTTCAAAAATTAATTCATGTTTCAAAGAAAGTCTTTTGTTGAATATTTTAGTACCGTTTCTGTAACTTTTTAATCGCGTGCACTTCGCTTTTCAGCAAAGGAACAGGAAAATAATATTATTTCGGCACTGCGAACATTATTTCAACTCGGGCATATATCCCTTAATCACTTGTACCTCGTTGGTTATTCTCTAAATGCTTACTGGTCAGAAGTGGGACGGACGTTTTGTCATATGCATACATTTCTCGATGGAATAATTTAGAATACAGCACCACAACTTCTCGTGAGGACGATCTCTGCCGTAGGTCACGTGTCATTAAGACAAGCAACCAGTTTGTGAGAACCCGTCGGACGCGAACCCGCGACCTTCGGATTGTTAGCTCGACAGCTAACCGACTGAGCTACGTCCACACTGTTGCACAATGTGCAAATTTATCGAGTCATTCCTGTGACGTCACGGAAATGAACGGAAAGAGTCGAATAGGTCACGGACAATTACGAATGCTACGGGTAGACTTGGTGTCTCGTGATTTTATTCTCCGGACAATTGCCGAATGGATCCGATGCCATTTGGCACACTCGTCCCATTCCGTAATCTACAAATTAACGTGTGGCGTGGAATGAGCCGATATGCCTCAAACTGGAAAGGGTTGTTGACGTCAGGCGTCAGACGTAGATTTCACGGTGCATGCATGAATGACGCGCTTTTATATAAATCGGTGATTTTGTGACAGAAAAGTGATGTAGGGAACACTGTAAGGATAATGTGGATCGCACTAAGGAACGAGGGAGACATGAGCATGTGTAGTGACGGCACTCCGGTGAGTTAGCCTTCGAATCATTACTTTACAAAATTTATGTTGCGTGTGAAAGAGGCTTGAGTGCAAATTCCAGACCAATTTCCATTAGCCCAAAATTTCTACATTAACCCATTTCATAATGTACTTTCGACGTTTTTGGTTTCCCGTTTTTGTGTGAAAAAAAAGTATTAAAATGCAAAAAGGAAAAACAACAAATGGTACTCACGTATTACACCGGACATGTACCTGCTATATTGGATTAGGTCCCTAACCCTACCTAACCCTAACCCTAAACCCTCAGCCCTAACCCTAACCCTAACCCTAACCCCTTGAAATAATCCTAATAAATAGAATGCATTGACCGAACCACCGGACATGTACCTACTATATTGCATTAGGTCCCCAACCCTAACCCCAACCCCTAACCCTAAACCCCTAACCCTAACCCTAAACCTAGTCCTAGTCCTAGCCCTAGCCCTAGCCCTAGCCCTAGCCCTAGCCCTAGCCCTAACCCCAATCCCTTGAATTAATCCTAATAAATAGAATGCATTGACCGAACCGGCACAAACACGACTGACGTGTCTAGTGTAATGCATTATTACCGCGTCGAAAAATAAAATACTAATAAAACACTTTTCTATGTAATGGTGCAAATTACTGAATGACAAAAATATATATGTAAATTAAAAAAATTACAAAATACAAAATACACAAAACATAACACCTCAGCAGCCCGTAATACAAATAAATATGAGCGTATTAGTGAAAAAAGAAAAATATTTCAAACTGGTGCTTGCAAAATATTGCGCATCCGCCGGTATACAACTACTGGAAACTCTCAACATCGTTGGGCTTATGCAATGACATAGCTCGTAGAGATGAAACACCAGTGAGCGGAGCTTATACGCACTCGCTGAGCCAGACAACCGTGTTGCCATGCAGGCGTCATAGGGCATTGTTTCGAGAACGTGCTTTCGAACAAAATCACATTACATTACGTTAAAGGGTATTATGACGTATTTTTAAAGTTTGTGGTGCTGTATTCTAAAGGTAGGCCGAAACAGCTAAAAAACCGACCATGTCGCTCGTTAATAACTGACATGCATCGTGACGTCGGTTACCAAGGCAGTGACGTCATTACAGTGTTACGTCATGCAAATATTGTACTACAGTACAAAACTCTTCCGCAACCTCTTTATGAAACCGGTTTCGGTTTGAAACCAAAAAATAACAAAAATACGCTATTTTGTCAATGTAATGCATGTAAGAAGTGGGTAATAAATAAACTACCACACTCGGTCTCATTACATACGAATTATACGAAACTCGTGACCTCCCTATGTTATCTGACCTCGCTTTCGCTCGGTCAGATACCATAGGAAGGACACTCGTTTCGTATAATTCGTATGTAATGAGACCTCGTGTAGTATTCTCTATATGTGCACTAGTGCACATATCACTTTAGCCTGTGACGTCATTAAACAATTGAACATGACGTCAATGAACAAGGCAGTCACACTTGCTTACCGTGTTTTACTGCACAAATGTGCATGAATAAAATGGATAATAAAGAAATTATTACGCTAGCAAGCAAAATTGTGTAATACAAAATTTCACACAAAGTTTCGTATAAGTCGTACGACACACTTGCTCGTGTAATAATCTCTGCATATGGCGGGGGGTTGTCTTGACCAGACAATCCAGTGATCAACAGCATGAGCATCGACCTACGCAACTGGGATACGATGACATGTATCAACCAAGTCGCCTCTTAGGACAAGCATGGGTTACTGAAGATCAGTTCTAGCCCGGACCTTCACGAGTGTATAAATGAAGGAAGGAGAGTGTGCTAGACAACTAGAAGGCTGTGGTCGAATTAAGATTCGTGTGCTCTAGGCCTTTTTTAAGTTGAGCATTCTGTAGAGGAGAAAATTTAGTAAACTTTTGAACATTTCGCAATAGTTTAACAAAGGCGAAAGAAAATGAAACTTGTGTGATGTAACTTACGTAATTTTGTAGCGTCACTAACGCCCCTTTCTTCAGGAGCAGCTCTGTGATTTCCATGAACTTTCCTCGCACCGCTTGAATGAGAGGATAATTCCCATCCTGAAACAAGGGATCATGGCGGAACATTCTTGTCATATGGATCTTTCCCGAACCCCAGCTCATATTTCCACTTGTTTGTTTGTTTGTTTGTTATTTACACTGCACTGCTCAATATGTCGTCCAGTAATCGACATCATGAGCATGCATCGAGGCACTGGGATCAGGGTGCCGTTGTATGGAACAACCTTAGTACTAAGACTGTTCTTAGTACATTCCATGGACTCATTGAAGACCTATTGAAAGGTGAGGATCCTCCGTTTTGTATCCCTTGTGATGAAAGAATCACGGTCAAGCATGCCCTGCTTGACTGTGTTGAATATTCCATCACAAGGGATATCTATTTCAAATCACAAACTATGAAGGATCTTTTTAGTAATGTAAGTTCTCATTTAATTATTGCATTTTTAAAAGAATTAGATTTGTTAAATGATTTGTAAATAGATAAATGGTATTTTAAACATGGTAGTATAAATTTGCAACTGCGATTGTTAGTGGCTGTATCCTCGAAGGGGTTGAAGTATCGTAAAATTATTGTCCTCCTCAGAGGGTACGTAAGTCCCAAAACTTTCAAAGTTAAATTTTGGCTTACCCGATTTTTCAACGTAGTATATTTGTTCCTTTAAATTTCGGCTAAACTTGTCCTACAATCGCCAGCGGCTGAAGGGATGGTGTAAATCCAACTAGGGTCCATGCAGGTAGCAAAGGCACTGTAAGTCCCCATGGTCCCTAGTATGGTGATCTACCTTTAGTTGTTGGCGATCTATAGCCCAGTTTTACATTGTATTGTCCAGAAATAATTTTCTACTTTTAAATATATATGCTAGCTAGTTTTCACTCAATCTGTGATAATCTAGTGGTTTTACTGTCCTTCGTTGACAGGGTTGTATATATTATATGTATGTATTATGAATTTAGAACTAGTCACGATATGGCTGAAATACTGCCGATATGACTTTAAATCTTAACTCACTCACTCACTCACATTTCAAGGTGTGGGAGTTACGGTCACCTCAGCGCTAACTGATAGCGTTTTGGCCTCTTGAGACAAGTAAGGTTTTATCACACAGTAAATAAGACCAACATATGTATAGAAATCTCGCCCATAAATTCTTTCAAGACATATCCAAATTTCATGAAATGTAAAACGACAGGTCAAAACGGTTTCCGGCCCCAGTGACGTAATTGGCGAACGTAGTAGTGAGGGCATTAACTTGAATTCCAAGTTACCCAAAACAAGGGATATGCATGAGAACAGTTTGTTTTACAGTTAGACGTTTCAAATTGTGTAACCGGAACCCGTGACCTTCGGATTGTTAGCCCGTCAGCTAACCGACAGAGCTACATCCACGCTGAACATAAAGAATTTTCTGGATTTCATCTTCTTTTTATTCTTTGATACAACGTTTCGGGGCCTGTTCCGGTCCCATCATCAGGTAAAACTAATGAACAAGAAGATGAAATCCAGAAAATTCTTTATGTTCATCAAATAGCATCTTCTAAAATGCAAATCAAGGATCTACATCCACGCTGTTACACAAAACTGGTTACTTGTCTTAGTGACGCGTGACCTACGACAGAGACCGTCCTCAAGAGAAGTTGCTCCGGTGGGGCTGTCATTAATGCTGAATGGGTCGTTGTCGGCACGGGGACTACAGATACGTTCCCCTGATACGTTTTTATGTACAGAAACATACATGGGGTAAACATCTCTAGTCCCCGTGCCGACAACGACCCCTTCAGCGTCATTAATTGTGTTTTCGGGGCGTAGGACATACCGGTGACTGACGGTTGACGTTGTCGTTGGCTGTGAGGAGGCAGACAACGGCGTCCTTGTGACCCACACTGGCAGCCAGGGCGAGTGGAGACATCCCCAGCTGGAAGAGACAGGAAGACAGGATGAGTGGAATAAATCTAACTCCGCTTTGCACCTCCCTACCCAGGGTGTGTCGCATATTCGAACGAAGCGGATTGTTCTGTCTAACATCAAGGCAGACAAGTCCTTTGAGGAACTGAAGAGCGTCATATCCCATTATGCCCAAGAACGTCACGTCCGTGTAACGTATGTCCGCCTCGTTAAGAAACGGACCCACTTCGATAAATCTGAAACATAAACTGTACAAGTTAACCTGCCACTAAATGATTATGACGTCATGATCAATGACGAATACTTCTGGCCTGAGGACATTGTGTGTCGGGACTATGTGCCATGGTATCGTCAAAATGATCAGAAGCACCAACAATACAGAGACAACATCTACTAATAACATGGATCTGTACATACTAACTCTGGTGTGTGTGATGGTCGCGCTAAGTGTGTTGACCTGGAATGTGCGTGGTGTGATGCACCAGACCCACAAAATCAACTCTGTTTTACCGGACTATGTCGACGTCATTGCTGTACAAGAACACTGGTCAAAAACAAGCAATATTCAATGTCTGAAAGATCTGAAATGCTGTAGACTTCTGTCCTACATATGTGATGATGTAACTACCTGCACAAGAGGTTCTGGTGGTACTGCTCTACTGCAGAACACTAATTCTAAATGGAAAGCACAGTGTGTACGTTCGTCTGCCAACTGTTGTATTGTTGTTAAGTTAACTCACCCAAATTCCGCCGACATGTATGTGATTGCATGTCGGCTTCCATCCACCAATGCCCTTCACTCTACGTATAGCACGGCACTCGACGAATTTTGTGACTTATATGATGAGCTGTGTGTTCAGGGCGACACAAGTATGCTTGGCGATCTCAACTCGGATATATGTAAGCGATTTATGTGACCACGTTACTAACTTCTGTCTCACTTTGTTAGTACTCGTTACTTAGTGAATGTTATTCAATATACCAGTTCACATACTTTCAGAAGCAAGGATAACATGAACACATCTCTCATTGATGACATCATGATTCCCTCACATTTACTTAATAATGTCACATCAAGTAAAGTAGTATTCACTAATTATGATACATCTGATCACTTTCCATGCGTAGCTACCATACAAATAAATGGTAATACAAAGGCAAAGGTTAAAGAAGCTCATTTTGTTAAATGGGACAAAGCTTCCAGCATTGAGATCTCTTCATGGAAGAACGGTCTCGATAACCTGCTTAACAATGCAGAGATTTGTTCATCAATTCATACAGGTGATGCTATTGAATCATTCAGTACAGTTATAAGCGAATGTATGATTAAAGCCAGTAGTCAGTCTCTACCAGTAGGTAATTTTAAAGTGCGTTTAAAACCTTACTGGAAGCAGGATGGGCTGCATAACGAACATTTTAACATGCGCGTTGATATGAGGCGATGGTTGTGCGAGGATAAGACAAGGGGGGATAATTTCGATTCATATACATCGTATAAGCAGGCCAAGCGAGAATTCCGATGTCGCCATAGACAGTCAAAGCGGGCCTATGCTAAGAATCTGTACTCGGACCTAGAAACTACCTAGGAGACCGATGTGAATACGATTTATAAGTCTGTGCGAAAGCTACGTAGGCACAAATTCGGAGTTGATAAACTTGCGTATGATAACTTCAGTGCCACATCTCCCACTGACATCTGTCAGCTCTGGGGTAGATACTCTGCGGATTTAGCAAAACCGTACGATTCTGACCAATTTGATCAAGATTTCAAACATCGAATTGACCGTGAAATTGTCAAATTAGCCTCCAGCAATGAAACTAATTCATGTGTTGATATTATACTCTGTGCAGACATATCCGTTCACGAAATCACAAGATATGTACAGAAACTGAGTAGAAACAAATCGCCTGGACCTGACAAAATTTATAATGAGCATGTGATGTTTGGTGGTGAGCTTTTGGTAGGGAAGTTAGCACTATTATACAATGCTATTCTCAGACTTCAGTACACACCTGCTGCGTATAGACACGGGGTGATTATACCCTTCTACAAGGGTAAAAAGGATAAATCAAACCCGGCCAATTATAGAGGTATTACGCTTACATCTTGTTTAAGTAAACTTTTTTACTAGAAAGGTGGACCTCCCAAAATGCTTGCAATTTTCCCGATGTGCTACAATTTGGATTTAGGAAAGAACATGGCGCTGTCATGTCGCTATTTACCGTTATTGAATGTGTGCAAACCTATCTTAATAGGGGGTCATGTATCTACACAGCATTCCTAGATAACGAGAAGGCCATTGACCGAATATGGCAATCGGGTCTCTTCGTTAAACTTAAGAGGTAAAATGTGGTTTCTGTTACGTCACTGCTACACTTCCATGTATGCGTGCGTTCAAGGGTGAACAGTCTGATACTTTTGCTGTTAAACAAGACATCGGTCAGGGTAGAGTTATCTCAGCTTGGTTATTTCTCGTGTACATAAATGACCTCATAACTGAGCTCCGGCAGGTAGACACTGGAATATGTATATATAACGTTAGATTGCAATGTGTATTACTTGCTGATGATACTACACTTATTAGTTACAGCCCTAAATGTCTACAACTAGCTTTAGACACAGTTGTTAATTACGCATCCAAATAGCGATTAACCTATAATGCATCAAAAAGTAACATTGTGGTGTTTGAAAAGAGAAGCAAAAAATGCGTATGCATGCTTATCACCTTGGAGATCATGACATACCCCTGTCTGATAGTGTAAAGTACGCGGGTGTTCTTCTCCAAAGTAATCTTTCTTTTAAACTATATATTGATGAGAGCTGTACTAAAGCAAGGCGCACTGTTAATTCCCTCCTCTCTGTTGGTCTAAACAGTAGGAATTTACATCAATATTCAAGTATTAAGATATGGAAAAGAATGACATTAACAACGAGTTTTTATGGCTGTGAATTACTACTCACTTTCCATGGTAAAGACCTTGAAGTAACTGAAAGCACTCAGCGCTACTTTGCCAGGATTGTACAAGGTTTTGATAAACGCTCTCTTCTTGATGCCACCATTGCAGATCTAGGACTCTGGAGCATGGTTGGCTATATAGATAAATGCAGACTACAGCTGCTTGGGCGTCTCTGTAACTTATCATGTGTCCCAATCTGTAAAACAATCTTTTGTGCATCTACCTCTCTCTATTATTCTCATACCAAGAACTTAGACAGTTTATGTGGAGTACTGCTTTCAACAGCTAAGAAATATAACTTACTTCATTATGTATTTCACTACATCTGCAGGAGAATCCCGGCGAAACATACGTAGAGAAAGATTGTAGTAAATGAAATAAGCAACCACGAGGAAGAAGTATGATAATATAAACTATCATGCAGAGCTGACTTGTCGTGATATTCCAAAATCCATACAGCACTTTCACCTCATGTGTTATACAGCATGGCATTGTTATACCCAGAACTGAGAGAAGAATTGCAATATGTAATAAGGATTGGATCCGGAAGAAAACTATCAAAAGAATGTAATGTAATACCTTCGCTAATGATTACTATCACCATGTTATCCTAAACTGTGGATATCTACTTTCAGAGAGAGATGTATTTTTCTCAACTCTAATAGATAATCTTGACATTGACATGTATATCAAAATAGAGATGATGGAAGAGCACGACATGCTGGCATTCTTTCTTGGGGCCAATAACAATGATATTGATGCAATAACGTGGCATGTTACTATTATAGAATTCTCAAAGTATTTGTATAAACTAAAAGATATCCTCAATCACCTGTGGTAATAATCTAGCCAATACCTGACTGTAAATAACCTGTATATATTTGGGGAAATGTTCCCATATTCTATGCATGTACATGTATATATATATGTGTGTGTATGTATGTTTGTTGAGTATTCTGTTAGATATATATTAATTATATAACCATGATGTTTTGAGGATCTTCGGACCTATCTGGAGGAAATAAAGACATTCATTCATTCATTCATTCATTCATACGTTCTGACGACTGACGACTGTACACATCCAGGTAAACATCTGTGACAAAATATCCTAAGAGCCAACCCTATTCCATTTACCACGAAGCTGCTAAGATAATACCGGGGCAAGATTACAGATTACCGGATACCTTCCGCCATCTTTGAAAGCAAGCGAGTTTACTTTTGGTTAGGGCAGGGAGAATAGAAGACGTAGATTATCCCTGGTTATAGGGTTAGGGTAAGGTTTAGGGTTAAGGTAAGCGTAAGGTTTAGGGTAAGGGTAAGGTTTAGGGTTAGGGTAAGGTTTAGGGTTAGGGTTAGGGTAAGGGTAAGGTTTAGGGATAGCGTTAGGGTGACGAGACACGAAACCAGACGCCCGACGCCGCAAACCTCTGTATTTTTAGCGAGACGAGATTTCTGTGTTTTTCAACCGCTTCGTTAAAATTACTGAGGTTTGAAGTGTTCGAGGCCCCAGATTTGGCTGCAACTTATAATATCCTCACCGTTTTAGGGATACAAGCAAGCTAGTTTCCCCTGGTTTTGAACATGAAATTTACGCGCATTTTTTACATATTGCAAATTTGCAGATAAATTAATGTCACCAGTTATTTGAGGCAAAAATAACTATTATGTAACTCTGAAGTAAACTCCTATGTCTTTGACAATTGTAAAGGTGTTGCTAAATGAAACTCACCACGTCAACCGAGGATCCCATTTTCACAATGGCCTTGGCATCTTTTCGTCTGAACAGATCAGTTATGATCCGATACCCTTCTGTCTCATTTATGGGTTTCGGTTTTGGAATTTTGGCAACGGCTCTTCCACCATGTCGTTCTGGCTTTGCTTCGGCTCCTTTATATCTCTTGTCGTTCATCTTCATAAACATAATATTCTTCAAACCATTGGCTTTTGTCATGTTTAAATCATAATGTATACCCTTTCCTCGCATAAGATATCATTGCAACTTGACTGTCAAACGACAGACTGAAACGGCTTCAGAGTTGCCACAGGCGACTTCATTGCAATGACCGTCACAAAGGAGTGACGTCATAATGTTTTGACGTCACAGATCTAATAGCGATCTTACCACACTCCGGCGCAGTGATGACTTAGCATTACATCACTGCAACAGGATAATTTGCATATCACGTGACCGGACTTTTCTCTTGTTTGTAAACAAACGCGCATATTCATAATAAGAAGAGACTGGTCTTACGCAAGCTTTTCGGCGCGCTCTTTACAATGTTTTACATTGTTACATATATATTCTTCTACAACTGCGACAGTAACATTTATGACAGTACATATTTAGATATCAAACTGGTTGCATCGTTTGCTCTCTGTCGGCTTCGATGACAGCACGTGGAGCCGTACAACCTATGTAAACAAAGGATCGCTACGCAAATCGAAATAGTGTTTCATGTTTTAGGATATTTTCTCAGTGAAACTAAACCATTCTATCAAAGATGTTTAATTAGATGTTTACACTCGTCAAAAATAAAAGAGTTTAGAAATATGTACATTATATTGAATGGACGAATCGTCACATCTTTCTGGCCTGTGGCAGAGGTACTGTGCTGGCTTGCCGCATGGAGCTCTGGGTAGGAGATTGCGATCTTACCCCCTGGATGCCGAGGAATTTTACTGGCGCACATTTTAATAAGATCTGAAAAGTGAACGTTGCACGACAATTCCAATTGCGCGGCATTAGATCTATCTACGCCTATAAAATTACCCAAGCACAAATACTTAGGCGGTTTGAAGAATAGACACTGCTAAGTGTTGTCTAAAATTTTGTTGTGGGTTAAAAAATAGTAAATTTACCAGCTAAAAGCACTGTGCGACAATGTTTGTATTTCGCATCTTTACGGAAAGTGTGAGCGGACGAAATACCACCTGATACCTGAACGACATACGTATATGGGCTTGTGTACTTATATATAACGTTATACACTCAATATGAAAACCACCTCCGTGGTGTAGTGGTTAGAGCGTCCGCCCGGAGAGCGGAAGGTCGCGGGTTCGATCCCCGACCGCGTCATACCAAAAGACGTTAAAATATGGTACTTGTTGGTCCCTGCCTGGCGCTCGGCATTAATGGGTACAACAAGGACTGGTCGGCTCGGAGTCGGTATAATGTGTCTGAGTGGGGTATTCATGCTTCACTGCGGCATGGTATCTCAGTGGACTAGCACTATAAAACCAGCTTCAGACTGGGCTAGTACAAGCAGCCGCACATACACATACACACGCATGCACGTCGTCATATGAGCGACATATTCTCAAGAACGACGATAAACCCAATTTCACCTCACCTCAATATGAAAAGGTCATTTTCAGCACTTAAGCTTTGTCTAAGATGATAGTGGTTAGTATCAAGAATTTCCAAGAATAAGCCATTTATTGGATTTCAACGTGAGGGTTGAAGAGGAAGGACATATATGTCCCTCTCGCATCCAGGAGGTTAAAGTGGTTGAACGTAAGTAGTATTCCATATTTTGACGCAGCAATCGTACACACACGGATTTCCTACAACCGCAAAGTAACCAGTATTTTTTCACCACCTGGATTAGCGTGTCGTGAGTGCTATTTAAAGGGGAAGTGTACACTAAAAAACTCACGTTTTTCTTATGTCAAACAAAATGGAATTTTTGAACTTACTGATAGATATGCTTGAAATTATATATACACTCATTTTTCTTACAATGAAGGTATAATTCTCATTATAAGTGCTGAAATGTTTTGCATAATAAGGCCTTTGTTGGCCGAACTAAAAGGCCAGAGTCGACGATGTTTCAGAATAACCATTGGTGATTCAATCAAACAACAACAAAAATACCGGTGATCACAAAAATCTTCAATTCTCCCAGTTAAATTCGACATTGAAATTAAGACATAAATTGTCCAAAACGCTGTGAATGGTGATTTAGTAATGTGTCATAACTGGCGAGGTTTGCGTTGTTTGTAATTTCCAATACATTTCCCCTGCCCACAATGAGCGGATGATATCTTAGAACAGAATTTCAAACATGATTCAAAACTGCGAAGTGCGTTTATCTTCGTGACGTGGATGTGGTTTCGACATCAAAGCGAAGGTTGAAGAGGAGGGACTTGTGGTTAATTAATACCGAGCGATTAAAAGTTGCCAAAAAGTCGCCTGCTTCACTCTCGCCCGCCAACGAAACCACAGACAGGTTACGTAACTCTGTCGCCAGAGCACTGCAGTGACGTCATATGAGGAAGGAGCAACAAGCATGGAGAATGATTAGTCTCTCTCCTTTCCCTAGAGGCAGCTTTCTACGTGACCCCTTATCACCCCCATCGGGTACCCACTGACTGCTGGCAGTGTGCGAGGCATTGACCCAGGTCTCGTCCAAGTACACTGGCTCGAACCCTTCCTCGCGCTTCTTCTTTATAACCCTGAGAAAATTATTCCTCAAGCGAACGATATCAGGGCGTTCACAGAGTACTGACCTATTCTCCCCCGAAATTTTCTTATAACGATACCCGAAAGAGTGTAAGAGTCGCCAGAGTGTGTACTTTGATACTCTGAGGTTGTGTTCTTGCTTAAAATGCTTTTTAAAAATTTTCAGCGACATGTATTTGTTTTCAGAATAGAGCTTGTTGATAGACTGCCTTACAAGGTTCTTTTGAAAGTTGTCAAAATGTTTTAATTTGTGTGATTTTGACACGACCCCTACCTGCTTCGCATCACCCTCACAATGTTTGTGTTCCAGAACATTTGTCAGTACCCTTGCTGATACTCCTAAAGCTTTTGCTGCCCGCTTACGGAATTTATTAATGGCATAAAATGGTTTGCCCCTTTCGGCTTCAGCACGGAAAAAATCGTACACTTTAATCATCAACTGTTTCACGTCAGCATTCAACTTCATTTTTCATGAGGCATGTGTATCCCGTGCACGACGAGATAGTGGCTGTTCCGTTTCTTCGGTTTCACCCCGCCGCGACAGATAACAACTTTTGCGTTTTCAATGATGATAGTTTCTTAAACAACTTTTTGGGTGGAGTCCGGAAAATTTTCAAATATAAGAAAGCTGTTGGGTATTAGTAAATGATGAACATGTGTACTATTTATATTTATGTGGCAATTTTGTACAATGATAAAATTTGCAATTCATCGGTCCGTTTCTGACTCAAACGGACTGTAGATGAGGAGTCATTTCCTGTGTTGGTGCTGATTCAGTTTAACAGGTTTCCTGCAGTTAAGTTATATTAACAATCTAACATTTCACTAGTCAGTATAGAAAGTGTGTAGCAAGCTCGTCATTTTGATGATTTCTCGACATCAACGAAGACATGCCGAATCGCTATCACAGTGTGGAACTGACTGGTACACATAGCCAGCTGACGGCCAGGCAACAAGTGGATTAAAACAGTAGCCTGCGCGTCGAGACACAAGAACCACACACCTGCACCACGTTAAATGGGTCTTATAATATGAGGTCTAACGACGTCATTCGTTTATTAGTTTGGTACCAATGACGTCATATTGCAAGGGTAACAGTATCCTTTTTCCACCTTTACAATATCGCCCAAAACCTTGAAAATAATTAACAAGATTCCGATATGATTCATAACTGGCCAAACCTTGCATAAATACACAGTAAAAAAAGTGTTGCACCCCCATATTAAAACTCTGGTGACGTTGGCATATCCAAAACACCCGAATAGGTTGTTGATGATAACCATTCTGATAGGATTTGGTGTTGAAGTCATTATGTTTTCGTAGTGAAAACGATCTCTAAAACGTAGCAACCTGCACGTGAATATCATTCTTCATGATTTTTGCAAATTGCAGTATGCTCATGTGATGAATCTCGCCTATAAAAAATGTTTTTCTGGCCGTTTAATCCATTGTAACGCAGCATGCCGGGTGCGAGAATAGCAGATGCAGTCAAGTGGCAGATTATTGGACTCCATAGGGCAGGTGTGTCCTTCAAGGAGATTGGCAGAAGAACCGTGCGTCATTACTTCACAATAAGCCGCCTGGAGAGAAAACATGCGAAGACTAATGATGTAAAGAATCGCAGACCTTCAGGCAGACCACGTATAACCATAGTCAGGCTTGTAAGGCAGCAACCCTTTGCTTCAAGTGCAATCCTCAAACGCCAATGGCTTCCTCATCGTCAGATCAGCCGCCAAACAGTGAGAAATCGACTCAAGGCTGCTGGATTGAGGTCCAGAAGAGTCATCAAGCGCCTCCAACTCACAGAGAACCACAAGAGATTACGTCTAGCCTGGTGTAGACAGAGACAAGGGTGGAACTTGAGGTCTTGGAGAAGAGTCCACTGGTCAGACGAGAGCAGATTTCTTGTGCATGTTGTGGATGGCAGAGTCAGAGTTTGGAGGCGTCCGGGTACAGCTTATGCACCTAGGAACATCATGCCAACGGTACCATATGGAGGTGGATCGGTTATGGTATGGGGTTGCTTCTCATTTGACTGTAAGCTGGATCTAGTGACCATCCTAGGCACTTTAACGGGCGATCGCTACATTCAGGAAGTGCTTGATCCAGTTGTTGTGCCCCATTTTAACAATCATCCATTTGCAACCAGGCCAATATTCATGGATGATAATGTTCGGCCACATCGTTCACGAGCTGTGACCCAGGTCATCCAGAACAATGCACTGACTCACCTCCCATGGCCAGCAATGAGTCCAGATCTCAATCCCCTGGAACACATATGGGACATTTTGGGCCGTCTGATACAACGCAGGGATCCTCCTCCACAGAACGTGCGGGAACTGGAAGCAGCATTGCACGAAGAGTGGCAGCAGCTGCCCATAGAGCGATTTCGACGTCTGGTGAGGGTATAAGACGAAGACTGGAAGCTGTTATCCAAGTACTGGGCGGAAGTTCACGATATTGACTGTTTGTGTTTGTCCACTCTCTGT